TCATTTTAACGTACACAAAGAACACCAAGACTGAGAACAACAATTTGTGGATTACACAAAATATTGCCCCATGTGGGGATCGAACCCTCAACACCCAGCGCTGTAGGCAGCGGTGAGGTGCCATCTTAACCCACTAGGACATCCGTGTAGTTTAGAAGCAGCATTTATTAGAAGAGAAGAATAGTTCCTATATTAAATACAACATTTCTTCTATTTTTAAAATACGCCTCTGACACCTGAGGTCATAAGCACATAACGAATAATAAACATTATTCGTCATGTTCGTCACTCTCGTGTTCAAGTAATGTTTAAACTAATTCTTCCGCTTGAAGCTAAAAAGTAGCCTTCGATATAATACCGAACTTTTGCTCGGCACACAAACAAAATGCTATGGTTGGCACGCAGGCGCTCTCGCTTAGTAGTTAGTAGTTTTAGGTGTAGTGTAGGTTAGCTATACGCTAGCTGAAAGATATGAGGTAGGGCACAACAGGTTTGTCCTCAAATTGGAGTGATAAGGATTGGATTTAAAATACACGAGTTGCACTACAGAGTGATTAAAGAAATAGAGAGATTAAACGGTAATAAGCCGATTGCCTCTTTCAAACTTAGGTGTACAAATAAAATAACTTTATGTTACTCATCTTTCAAAACATATATTGTAGGGTTAAATATTTGAATTAAATTCTTGATTGAGTAATTATACGTTATCCCATTTCTAAGTCTTAAAATTGTTTATAACGTAAATGATATTCACAAAAAAAGGCCCCTACAGTGAATGAATGAATGAATTAATGCATTTAAGCTTTTATAATAAACTCAAATTTATTGCTAGTAGTTTAGAAAATTATATTTGAGTGGTTTAGAGAATTCTAGTATTGTAGGAAGAGAAAGAATTTGAATAGAGTGATACTAATGTAAATGTATACTGTAGATTTTGTAATTTTAGGATTAATATATTGATTGACCTAATAAGAACTTCACTTCGCTACAAGTGCCATTTTTCCATATATACTCGTAGTTAGTACATGCACACATAGTAGTGCTGTAACCATTTATCTTCCATGCTAGCACTGTATTTTGGCGATAGTAAAGTTAACTTTATTATGGTATTGATAGATCTTAATATATGCTGTATATCATTACTCAAATACGAGAAACTTATTACCCTCATAGAGCTTGAACCGAAAATATGTACCTTTATAGCCAATCTGATCAAATGATTTCGTGAAAAATGAAAAAACAATTTACACGGAACTGTAAAAGAGAAAAATAGTTGAAAAACTTGCCGAAAACGGAGATTAGAGACATAAAGAGAGGTCTGTAATTAATCGAATAAAAATGTTATAATAATCCAAAATTTTGTATCTCAATAAATCTGGTTTAGATATTAGTATAGCAATACCTGGTGATCGTACATTTCTATACCAAAAATTCAAAAACCTCATTGCCTAGAAAAAAGCATAAAGGAAAATTTAAAATAAGACTATAGGATTCAATTTGTCTTCCATTAACAAAAATCTTATTAACAGATACTATATTCTAGCGATGGAGTTTTTCTATGCACTGTCTTTTAGTTGACTGTTTGGGGTAGTGCCACATGGATTTTTTTATGTATTTCGAAGTTTTTTAACTAAATAGATTTTAACGAATTATTTTCGAACAGGAATTTGTTGTAAAGTTTTTTTAAATTTCATAATAGTTGGCCAAAATTCAAGAACACATTCAAATTTTCCGCCATTGACAAATTGTTCCTCATTTCCAATTGCGTGCACATCCAAACTGATGCGCACACATAATACAAAACGCGAACTTGAGACGATGTCACAATATACTGCTGCTATATATACTTCGTCCAAGAGAACAGGAGCATAGTCTCACTTGAGCAATCTCAACAACTCAACAGGAACAAAAATGGCCTTTAAGGTAAACATTCTTCTTGATTGTACATCAGTTCTCTTGATAGAAATTACATACTATATTTATATTATATTTTCTATTTAATGTCTAAAGTAATCAACAATTGTCCCAGTAAAGACTTACAGAAGTGTAAATTCAAATCCTGCAATAAAAATTCCATATCACTTTCCAAAGATAGACTCCAGAAAATCGTAATTCATGTGTGTCACAAGCGATGTAATATATAAGTCAAAAGTCGTTGGTGTAAAGTTTATCTCTAGACAAAACTTTACAATATGCGGGTCACTTTTACCAGCCATTCAACATCTTCCATGAAGTCAAAAGATTAATGTAGATGTAGTAGAAGGTCATAAAAACAAAATAAATGCTACGGGTATTCATTGCTTGTATTTATTTTAGCAAAACCTAATTACAAACGATAAACTACGGCGCCATACAATTTTAAACGTCAACTATTTTAAAGTCATTAGCATGCAAAAGGCGACACCGTGTGCGTCCTTGACGAACGAGCTATGCTCAGCTTGTTAGTAATTTCTCCGCACATACGTTTACGCAACTGCACTATTCTTGCCCTCACAAAACCGTGTCACTGTTTCAAGTACGACTTATGTGTCACATGCTGAGTTAAACCACACTAGACTGACCATTAGTGGTCTCTAACGAATCGATTTGTTACAGTTCGTCATCCTTTCATGCCTTTTGGCTCTGGCACGAGCGGGTGTTTTACAACCCGTTGTCGCAGCAAGGCTGGAAGAATTCGACCCACTTCCTCAGTATAATTTTGGATACAATGTAGCGGACGCAATCACCGGTGACTACAAAAGCCAGACGGAGCAGCGAAGTGGGGATTTGGTTCAAGGACAATATACGGTCGCCGATCCCGATGGTACACTGCGTATTGTTGACTATTCTGCCGATGCAGTAAACGGTTTCAACGCGGTTGTTCGTAAAGAGCCCCTGGTGGCTGCCGCTCCCGCTGTTGTTGCCGCTAGATACACAGAAGCTGTGCCTGTTGCAGCTGCCCCTGTAGCTAAGTATGCTGCTTACTCAGCCCCGGTTGCCCGATTCACGTCGCCGTTTGCTTACGCTCCTGCTGCGCGATTTGTCGCCGTCTAAAATAATGTTTACCCGCAACGACTGAACAATAATGGCTCATTAAACTTTTAACCAATTTTTTTATTTTTATTTACAGTGGGGAAAGATTCCTCACTTTAAAAGGTTGGTAATTTTTTTTCCTGAGTTTATTTATTAATAATTCACACTCTTAATATATGATTTGTCAATAATTACGTATTGCATTGTTTAACACAAGCAACATTACAATATAATATTTACATACATTTCTAAATATTGTTATTCTTGTTAAATTAAAACGTTACATTAAAGAAGTTCCATTACATTGCTTATATGCCTATTTAATGGGCCACCCCCCAATAGTTTTCACATATTTGGAATATTGCTTAGTTGATTAATACATGAGGAAGAGGATGGTTACAAACACACCACATTAAGGACAAGATTCTAAACATGAGAAAGTGTGTTAATAACGTTTATTTTTTGAGATTACTATTTTTTTAACGACTAAGGTGAAAATATACATAACTATAAATATACATAGCTAGATTACATCCAAATATGTGTTGTAAAATAAGTATTATAAATATTTATAAATATATAGTTATAAAATAATTGGAGCCGTCTAAATCTAGTCCAGTTCAAGTCAAAAAAGACACAGGTCTGTGCATTCACCGCAAAAGAAGATACCATTTGTCGTATCACCTCGGTTTGAGAGCACCTTCCTAACTGCCTCAGTCAGCATCGGAATCCTAGGCATCGACGTATCGAACGAAGTCCAGTTTCGGGGTCACTTAGAGTGTAAGGTCAAATTGGCCTCGATGAAGTGTGCTGAACAGATGAAGACAGTATTTCACTGCGACCCACCGCCTTCAGCTCTCTAAGGCGCAAGTCCGGCCGCATATGGAATACTGTTCTCATCTCTATGCAGGGGCACCTCAGTACCAGCTTCTCCCTCTGGACCGCATCCAACGAAGAGCGACTCAAATCGTCGATAGCCCAAACATCTCCGATCGGCTCGATCCCTTGGCGTTACGTAGAGATGTGGCTTCACTCTGCATTCTCTATCGCATATATATCATAAAGAGTGCTCCGAGGAATTCTTCGGACTAATACCAGCCGCAACTTTCCGCCATCTTTCCACAACGCAAAATTTTCATCCTCATCACCTGGATAGTTGGCGCTATACTACTGTGTGCTTTTCGAGACACTTTTTGCCCCGCACAACCAATCTGTATAACGGGTTATCGTCTGCGGTATTTCTGGACCGATACGACCTTCAAACTTTCGAGAAAAGAGCGTACTCCTTCCTAAAAGGCCGGCAACGCGTTTGTGATTCCTGAGTTGCAGACGTTCATCCCGTTCGACCGGTCTGCTCGTCTGCCCTTTACATTTATAGTCAATTTTTTTTATGTTGCTCTAACATAAAAAATAAATAAAAGGAGTTGTAAATTATGTGTGTTTTTTCCTATCTAAACAATGCTATAACTGGTTAGATGCGTGTATTGAGTAGTCGGTTTCAAGGAAGTTACAATAAACCTCATTTTCAATTAAACTTGTGACAAGAACATACATGGGACTAAAGCGGCGGGGTATTTGCATTTTATCTCCACCAAAAAATAAACAGTTAACAGTTTTTTCCAAACTTTTCTCACGGCCAAATCTTAGGTGAATAAACATTCGACTAAGCTCGACAAGTGCTCGATAGCCAGCCTTCGAACGTACGTCAAAATTTCATTCGTGCTGCCAATTTTCTTTATAAAGTGTCACGTATTGAAAGCTTGACAATACGGTTACGATACGAAAGTAAACTCGAATCGTCCGTGATGCCAAAATTAGTTACTTCTACGAAGACGAATACTTTTTCGCAAGTCGTTCATGCTCGGGGCACAGAGTTGTAAAATCGAATAAAATCTGGTAGAAAAAAACACACGTCAAAATATGACAACCTAAAAATATTGAATTTTCTCCGCAAATTTCAAAGGGGTTGTTATTTTTTTATTAATAAAATGGAAGAGAAACAGTTATATGGAGCACTTACGGTGTATCGCGAACGAGGAGCTTATCTTCGCCGTCTTGAGCAGTTTGAAAAGGCGAAAGCTTCTTACGATGAGGCTTTTCAAAATAGTCCTGAGGATGTGCGTACGCTGACGGGGCGCAGCCAGGTTTGCGCAGATGCTGTAAAGCCAGTGCAAGCATACTCTGATGCAGAACTGGCGCTTCAGCTCGAACCAAGGAACATGAACGCGCGCAATATGCAGGCGCGGGCACTATATACCATGTCCGATTTCGAGCGCTCTGTTGTCATGAACTTTCGAGGGCTCAGGGTTCGACGCCAGCCTCCATACTTTACAGAAGGTATAAATCAAGGCATAGAAACTATTCAAGATTGTATCGGTGTCAACGCTGGCAGCGTGATGTTAGATTTCTTACCTCTCATCAAACAACTGGAAGCGACACGGGGTAGTGATAATGAACCGCAAAAGGTCACACATGTATCTCGTATTCCCAAACCTGAGCGAAAACGTAAACTAACGCAGATGGAGGCCCGAAAGCATTATATCTTATCTCGTGTGCTAGCTATGAAATATCTTGGTCCAATGGCCTACGATAAATTTTTTCTTCAAAGTCTCACTGAAGATCCTCGAATCAAATCTGCTAATTCTGCTGGTAGTGAGGAACTCAAATCACTCGTCAAAGAAGCCTTACGATCTCTTAGTGAAAGACAAGAGATGTTGCGGTCACAGAGACCATATTATACTATTAAATTTGCTGAAAAAGCGGAATCTAAACATCAAAATAAATATAAGGAGTTAGTGCTTATAAGAGAGCGTGAAATTGGAGCGCGTACTTCTGAACGTTTGTTGAAACAGCTTGAGAAGAGTATGCGAGAAAACCGCGTTATGGATTTGATAGCACAGGCCGAACGGATGCAGTTATTCCTCGACTCAAAAACTCCAAGAACATTACCCGACAAAGAGCTTTATACAGACCGCTTATACAGGGCCGTGGGCGAAGGATATTTATCACAACATCGTTTATCGTACACTCTCAGTGAACGCGGCAATCGACGTCGTATCGCTTTTCTTATGGGCTTACCCGTGGGTCGTCCTACTTCTTTCGATTCAGTTATGGCTAACTATCCTTACAAATTCATTGACATAAAAGAAGCAACTGAAAAAGTACAAGCTTCTCTTGAAATGTGCGAGAATTCAACTATGAAATGTTGGCTTATGTATGAGTTGGCTCGATTACTTTGTACACAAAAAAATTATGCACTGGCTAAATATTACGGCAAACGCTGTCAACGAGAAGCTCAGGAACTAGGTAGTGTCACGTGGTGGTTAAACGGCTGTTTCGTTCTGATGAGCGGAGATATGCAACAAGCCAACGCTAACGAAGTGCGCGTCTTGGTGGAAGAAGCTTACGAATACTCAAAGAAGATGCAGGACCCAGAACGGGTGCACGCTTTCTTGTTCAAGTGTGCAGAGATGGTGTCACAAACAGTCACGGCAGACGAACGAAAAGCTATTATGCAGCGCGAGAAACAAGTCGTATCTGTTATGAACGCAGAGCAGGCCATCGAGACTCAGGTACTGTTCAAGAAAATGTCGACAGTGCCACCAGGGCGACGCTTTTCTGTACTGCCGCGAAAACCGGAACCGGGCGGAGAAGCAGAGCGGCGCAAGCGCATACAGCGTGGACTTACAGTCATTCCTGGACCAGAACAAGTTATACCAGCACCACCACAATCTGGTGTTCTTGGATTACAATTATTCGATATCTGATGTGTGTCGATTAGCTTCAAATATTTTTGAGAATTTTAATCTTTTAAATACTGTGGATTTAAATTATGGAATTATTATTAAATATATTATACAGTAATTACTCCTTTGTATGCTACCGATTTATTCAATAAAAAAACTATCAAATATCAATAGTTGAGCACTCATACCATGCCTCATCTTCAACATAAGCCTTTAGTAGCCCACTGGCTGGACATAGGCTTCTCCAAGCAAGCCAGGATTTGTTTCAGGTTTCCCTTCTTTCTGCAGTGATGTCGTCCTATGTAGTTTGCGCCCTTAATCGGCTTTTAAGACACCCACGGGACGAGTAGGGTTGGTGATAGATTAAGAATACAGAGTGTGTATTCTTAATCACTTGTACGCTTATACAGTAGATAGTCTGCTTAGATCTTTTAAAGTACACAACGGATTTTAATGCGGTTTTCACCGATAGAGAGAATGATTCAAGGGGCGTGTTTATGTGTAGGACCTAGTTTTTAGCGTTCCATGGATTTACCGTGCGGCTGCCGGATCCATCGCGTGATAGACGGGGACAACACATGCGACTGCGATAGCGCCTGGGAGTTTTAACCCAGGAGTATGTTTTGCGATACGCCACAGCTCACCTCCACTAGACTCACCTTCAAAGACTTCTTGGTCCCACCTTTTACTTATTTATGTAATCTTGCTTTCAATATAGGAACATTTCCAGAAGCATTCAAACTCGCTGTAGTTCACCCGATCCACAAAGGAGGTGATAACCGCAGAACTACGGACTTATATCTATTTGACCAACCCTTTCTAAAATATTAGAGAGGTTAATAAACTATAATACGAGCCTAGCCATGCCCCTTTAGATATTCATTCAAGAAAAGAGCTTACTAAAACTCTTAGTAATTCAAGGTCTTTAAGCAGGTTATAGAGAGACTTAGCTGGTATAACCCTCACACCCACTTCCACGGCATACAACGCAATGAAATAACCACTTCTAGTTATTTCGTTGGTTAAGTCAAAGTACTTGTTTCTTTTTAAAGCGTGGTCTTTAGGGATGTTCGTTTCAAACGGTACCGTGAGTTCTACTAGTACTTCACGCTTAATTGATTTTGCATAGAGAAATATGTCTGGTCTGGACGGCGAGATATCCTCCGGTATCCTGTAATGATTTTAATACGTGTCACCTAATAATGTCCAGTCACTGGCGTTATTTATAATTGAGTATGGGTTTTGTGAAATCATTTTTGTTTAGCCTTCCTTTACAAACTCGATGTTAATTTTTATGTTTGTTGTTATTCCTATTTTCGCTCTTGCCAGAGATAAACTAATAGCTTCGCATATAATTTGTAATACCCTATCAAGGCGACGTGACCATGGTCTACTATAAGCAAGGTATTAATAAGTGCCTGGCTGTACCTATTTCGGCACTGCACATATCCACATTCATACATACATACTGCATATACATATTATATACTGCACATACATACATACTGCACTGCACATACATATTATGTGTAGTAGAGAAAAACCGATAATTTCAAAGATTTTTAATGTGAAGACGTAAAAAACATATTTTTGTAAGCTTGCATTCCAAACGCTGAGCTAAACGAGATAGATAAAAATAATGTACTACGGAATTGAATATCTTTTTTTGTGGTATAAGGGGGCAAACGAGCAGACGGTTCACCTGATGGCAAGCAACTAACGCCGCCGATGAACACCTGCAACTCAAAAGTCACAAGTGCGTTGTTGCCCTTGGAGTCCCCCTTGCTCGTTTCAGCGGGAGGGGGGATTTGGGCTTCGGTAATCTCAGTCAGTCAATGAAAGGCAACGAAAGAATTGCTTAACACCGATTTTCTGTGAAGCCGTGGTATCACTCCAATCGAGCCGGACAATTCGTACCGAAGCATGGTTCTCCCTCTCCTCTAAATATTGCATATAAAGATGTCCTGAAGTATAGTCTTATCATAAAAATAGTTTAATAACTGCACACTGACACCGTATTAGTAGTATCTACATTGCAATCGTGCGAAGCCGGTGTGGATCGCTAGTAAATAATAATAGGAAATAGCAATAAATTTAGTTTATTTACAAACATTTATATTAAAATTGTCATGGCATCTATTAAATTACTTAATGGTGGTAGGCATATGCTGGAGCACTGTAGGCTATAGGTGCAGAGTGGTACACGGGAGCACTATGTACTACGGGTGCAGCAGCGTACGCAATGGGAGCTGCAATCTTACCCACCGGGGCAACAGCGGCCACTTTGACAGCATAGGGCTCCTTGTGAACAACGGCATTAAAACCATTGTGAGCGTCTGCGGTGTACTCTACAGTACGTTTGGTTCCGTCCGGGTCGACAACGGAGTAGGAGCCATGGACAACGTCACCATCGCGGGTCTCATGGTGGGATTTAGAGTCACCAGTGTGGCCGTCTTGTACGTCGTAGGAGAAGCTGTACTGAGCAGGCGCGGCGGGGACCTCTTTGGCAATGGGGGCAGCATATGCTACTGGTGCTGTGTATTTAGCTATAGGTGCAGCGTAGGTCAGTGGAGCTGCTTGTACGGCGTGACTCGTATATGTGATGGGGGCTGAGTAAGCCACCTGTTCAGAGGGAATGTAACCGGCACTCGCCACCGCAACTAAGCAACTGAATACGACAACCTGTAAGAAATAAATTATTCTAGATAAATAAATTTTATAACACAAAACATTAACCATGAGACTGAAAATTATGCAAAATATAAACCATTATATACCTTGAACGCCATTTTTAGTCGCAGTTATGTTCAATAGTGAGTTGGAACTGTTCCTTTCAGTGATCGGTCTCGTTTTATATTCATCGCATGTCCACTCATGACAACAGATTATTGTGACGTCACAAGACTCGATCCGGTAATCAAACCTCGCCATTATGAGAAGTTCGTTGGAACTTTCGCTTTTAATTGAGGTGGTAAAGGCTTGTCTCACAAACCAAGGAAAGCGAGCCACGATTTCAGTGAGTAGCTCGAGCCTTTTGCTAAAATAATCTGCGTTATATATATAAATAACATAAATATATCCTAATATATCCATATATAACCGATAGTCTGAAAATGATAGGGATGAAAATGATATATACTAATATTTTATTCATGTAATGGATTTATTAGTTCTAAATAGCACTTCCTTTCTAGTTCTGTATACAAATATTAGTAGATAACAAAAAAAAATGGTGCCTAGAGAAAAAGCTGATTTAATATTTTCTTTCCTGTGATTTTCTGTAAAATATATTTGATATATTTTTGGTATAATATTGCATGGTTCAATGCATTTTAATTCCTTTTATATTTTAAGCCGATCGCTCATCCTTTTCTCGTGAACGGTGAGACAAACACCTAACGAAGGCAAGGTCACGATCTTCACTGGAATTCGAGCGCGGCCCAGTGTAGTGGTAGTTGGGTGCGTGCCGGTTCTCCTGCCTTGATCAGTTATTGTATTTTCGGTAGTAAGGTTGCTGCAACTAGCTTCTCAATAAACTTGGTGTTTTTACGTCTCTCAGATAAAAATGATTGCCTTATTTTATCTACATATTAATACCTGAAGAAAATTCTCTGTACCCGTTATTAAACAAATATGGCGCTTATCATGGAATAATGTTTATATGTAGAAGAAGTGCACTTTTAAACAATAATATATGTGTTATAAAGTGATAAATCTCTACATAAAACCATAGCATCCAGTATATACATATTTTGACCTGCCATGGTACTAAAGTGCATTCAATGATAGTTCATGTTATACTGGTCAATAAAATACAAGACATTAAGACGGTCGTAATCCGACCGCCAGGCGATCTCTATTACTTGTAGTATTATTTATTTAACATTTAGTACTTACTTCCTAGTACCTGTATAGGGTATTTCCGCAGGCAATTCCGAGGCGTTGTTTTTTTTATAGGCCTCGGAAGAAGCCACCTGAGGGATACAGCCTCATAGTGGGAGGCACTCGATGGCCGATGGGACTTCGGACATCATTTCCGAGGTCTGGTTTCCAAGTAGGTGGGAGCAGTGCGTGCATTAGCGCCGCTGCTACCTAACATGAGTCGACCCGATGACTCCTGCAGGAGACTCTACTCCTACTCGGGGGCGGTGTGGTCCATTGCCTTTTATGGGGCCTCAGTGTGGGCGGAGATCCTGAAGGCCAGCAACGTCGCACTACTGCGACGACCGCAACAAGTGCTGGCCATTAGAGTCATAAGAGAGTACCACACGATCTCCTTTGAAGCGGCGAGTCTCCTGGCTGGAACTCCACCGTCGCCCTTGCGGCTCTGCATCAGTTACGCAAGGAGGTGCGGGATTTGGGTCGGAGTCCTGAGACTCGAGAAATCGAGGACCAGAAATCTTGATGAGAGACCAGACCAGACCAGAGACCTTGTGGAGGAGTGGAAAGAGCGACTTGGGCAACCGCGCTGGGCACGCCGTTATCGCGGCGGTGAGTAGGAAGGATTGGCTCGAGAGACATCACGGAACCCTCTCATACCGGCTAACGCAGGTGATCACCGGAAAAGGTCGAACCGTGGATATAGCTCTCTATACGCTAGCAGAATGCCCGGCGTGGGTGGAGCAGAAGCGTAACCTCGTGGCGACCATCGCAGTGGAACATAATGTTTATTGCCGCCATGGTATGGAGCCAGTGTGCGTGGAATTCCGCCGTCTCCTTCTCCGAGCAAGTTATGCTTAAGTTATACTTGTTTTTTTTTTATCTTAGAGTGGGCAGACAAGCAGACGGGTCACCTGATGGAAAGTGACCATCGCCGCCACTGAACGTCTGCAACTCAGGAGTCACAAACGCGTTGCCGGCCTTTTAGGAAGGAGTACGCTCTTTTCTTGAAAGTTTGAAGGTCGTATCGGTCCGGAAATACCGCAGACGCTAATCCCTTCCACAGATTGGTTGTGCGGGGCAAAAAGTGTCTAGAAAAGCGCACTGTAGTGGAGCGCCAACTATCCAGGTAATGAGGTTGA